ATTTCTTAATAAAAACCAATTAGATTCTTAATAATCATTGTTCTTTGTCAAATACTATCATCATGTGAGAGAAATATTATTATTATAGATAAATGTTGAGCTCCTCATAGTAATAACGCTATGCTCACCTTCATGATCTTTTGCATAAACGTGTCAACAAATAGCTAAATAATATATAACATGTCACAACAGTGACAATACAAATCAGAGAAAATTGGTAACTCATTGACACTAATGAAAGAAAGTGATCAGAGAACTGAGAATAGTTGTCAATAATCAAACACAACATGTCTACTGGATGAAATATGACGAATGAAAGTGATTAAAATGGCAAAAAAGAACTGATTTAATCAAGATTAACTAACAAGAATTGTGCTGATTAAGTAAAAATATGAAATATTGATGATTAATCAATGGAAAAGACAAATGACATTACTAAAATTGTTAATAATTTTAAATAACTCACAATGCATCAAAATTATTATGCATGCAAAACAATGCCAACAATAATAATAATAAAAAAGTACAGTCAAACCTCTCTATAATCATTACCTTTGGGAAAGCAAAATTTGATAACTATAAAGAGAATGTGATTATAGAGGGATTTTTTTTACTATATTTATATGTAAATGAAAAAGCAAAATAGGGTGACTATAGAGGGATGTGACTATAAATGGATGTGACTATAGAGAGATTTGATTGTAATATAATGAAATAAATATATATATACAGTATATATATATTATCTGATAACAATAAGAATGATCAGCCGGACGTGTTTTGATTGGCTGATAGATTAATCTACTCTGATTGGTGCATATTTGTAGGTTAGTCGTATTAGGATATTCTATTATTAGCCATTCTATATTTAGAGATATTTATAGGATAGATTTCAGAACTCCGAAAGGGCAGATTGGATCGGATGTCACATGATCTGCCCTTTTATCGGGCTTGATATCGATAGTTTTTAATTTTTTAGTTCAATAGCAATGTTTTGTGCAAGTAAGTTTTTTATTTTCGAGTCATTGAATATTTTTGATATTGCTCTCAAGAGAGCTCACGTTGTCTCCTTTCTAGGGAAACTAACCAACTCCAATTTGCCCCAGTTTCCGGAGAACCTCCACAAGAACCAGTTATTTCTAAAAAATCAGGTCATGTATTCGAGAAAGATTTAATTCTTAAGTATATCGCTGCAAATGGCAAAGACCCAGTTACAGGGGAAGAAATCACCGAAGAGGATTTGTTGGAGCTTAAAATAGGTATGTGTAAATAGTGGGGGTTTTTTTCGCAAATATCTTAAAGAAGTAAAAGCTTTCTTTTGATACCTCTAATTCGAATATATAGTTATTATCATAATATCGAGATTTCTTTATTGATCTTTTTGATGTTCTTGATAATCCGTAGTTTACTTATTTTTCGGTAAATTTTTATTTGCATGATTATTGTTATTCCTATCTTTACTTAATAAGGTCCGAAGACAGTCAAACCTCGCCCGGCTACTTTAACATCAATTCCTTCCTTACTATCTACTTTCCAGAAAGAATGGGACAGTTTGATGCTGGAAACTTATACCATCAAACAACAAAATCAACAATTACGACAAGAGTTAAGTCATGCTTTATATATGCATGATGCTGCTTGTCGAGTAATTGCACGATTAATAAAAGAGCGCGATGCTGCACGAGAGTGAGTAGAATTCACACAAGGTTAAAGTTTGATATAATAATTAAATTTTTTTATTTTTTAAGAGAGCTGGCAAATGTACAGACTCATATTGGTGTGTCTCCTCTAACGGATGCCGCTGCCCCAGAACCTCAACCAATGGAAATAGAAAACGAAGGGGCAAAAGGCATCAGTGAAAAGGTCATTGAAAAACTAGATGAAACCAGTAAAGAGTAAGTTTTATATGAAATAATATCTGATTATTTGACAGTTAGCTAAAATTTTAAAATTTTGATACATGTGTTTGTTTGTGCTTAGACTATCAAAAGGCCGCAAAAAGAGGAAACCACCACAAAATCTTACCGGCCTTGATGAAATAAGAAATTTCACACAAATTTTTCAAATACCTTCCCTCCACAAAACTACTCGTCCGGGTATCAATTGCTTGGATCTCGATACTACCGAGCAATTTGTTTTGACTGGTGGCAATGATAAGATTGTGCATGTTTATCATAAAGAAGAAAACAAAGTCGTGGATTCGTTAAAAGGGCATACGAAGAAAATTACAGATGTCATGTGGCATGGTAGAGAATCGGGAGATCTTGATATCGTGTTTTCTGCTAGTGCTGATAAAACTGTAAAGATATGGCGACCTTCTGATAATGGTAATGCAATACATAATTTATTCGTTTGCGATTATTGATTAAATTCTAATGTTTTTACTTGGCTAATTTAAGGGTATTCCGAGAGTAAGAGTATAAATGTTCACACTCACGAGGTAACAGGAATTGCGATGCATGCCACAAGAGACTATTTTGTGTCTGTGTCACTTGATTCATCTTGGGCTTTTCATGACATTGAAACTGGAAATAACTTAATCAAAGTTGAAAGTAACGACGTACAAAAAGGTATTTTTATTTTCTTCTATGATTTTCCTGAAATAACAAGCAAAATTCAGTCTCAAATATTGAGACTCTTATCATCATCATCATCATCATCATCACAAATAGGCTATTCTGCTGTTGAGTTTCATCCTGACGGACTTATCCTGGGAACTGGTACAAAAGATTCTGTAGTTCGGATTTGGGATATAAAGAGTCAATCAAATGTTGCCTCGTTCCATGGTCACTCTGGTCGTATCACATCATTATCGTTCTCTGAGAATGGCTATCACCTTGTCACTGCCTCAGAGGATAATCTTGTCAAATTGTGGGATTTACGAAAGCTCAATAATTTCAAAACCATTACTTTACCTGATACGGTGAAATCAATCAATAAAGTTATTTGGGATTTTAGTGGTCAATATTTGGCCGTCGGTAGCACGGATCTTAGGTTTGTTATTTATTAATTGGTTATTTTTACGTGAAACTTAAAATATATTGCTTATTCAATTCTGTTTTTTTTTTGTTCCTCTATTATGATATTATGATATGATATTATGCTTGTAGAATATTCCAAGCGAAAACGTGGAATGAACTTGCGGTTATCACTGGAACCCCCGGTGAAATTTTTGATCTAAAGTTTGGCGGATTAGCAAAATTCATTATGATTGGTGGATCGGATCGTAGCCTACGAGTCTATGGTGTGCCTACAGAAGAATAAATTTAAAATTCAATACCATCGTCTCCTTGTTCTTGAACTTGCTATTTGATGTGTTAAGAACCAGAGTGATTTTATCTAATCTAATAATTAAAAAATTTCCTAAATTAGAACATTGGGATCACGTGTGTACTAAAATCTTCAATTTCTATACCGATACATCAAATTTATTGTTTTTGGTCATCATGGAGTTAATCACTTCACCATTTTCCACCATTTCATTCTTTTCCATAATAATAATAAAATTAATAAAATTAACAATACTATTATCAATAATTACATTATTCCTTCTAGTTATCGACTTTTACTTGATTAAACGATACTTTAGAGAAAATGCCACCAAAAAGCGAAAATCATTGTTACCTAGACTCTCTTTGAAACTTGATTTAGATGAGAAACCGCCTTTAATAATTGGATTTTTTCATCCTTACTGGTAAAAAATATTTATTTAACAAAATAATTTTTTTTCTGTTAATTCGCTTAATAAAAAATTAAAATAAAATAGTAATGCTGGAGGTGGAGGAGAAAGGGTGTTGTGGACCACAATATATAACATACAACAACAAGAACGATATAAAAATGTGGCGTGTATAGTGTACACTGGTGATACTGATGTTACGAAATCTGAAATATTAGATAAAGTTAAAGTGAGAGTTATTAAATTATAATTTTTTTATGCCTGTAGCTATATTTTAAGATTATATTGATTATTTAATAATGTTGGAATAGTTACGTTTTAATATTTCATTAAATCCGGATGCTTTAGCCTTCGTATATTTATATAAAAGGCATTGGATTGAGGATAGTAGGTGATTAAATTTACCTTGGATCATAAATTCATTTTTTTTTAATTTTTATATATATGTGTTTAAAATAAATCACTTTTATTCATTAGATATCCCCGATTTACTTTACTTTGCCAAAGCATCGCCTCAATTTTTTTGTGCTGGGAAGCGCTAACTAATCTCGTGCCCGATATTTTTTTTGGTGGGCATTAATTTAATGTTATTTTGATTATTTTTTCATTTTTTTTTTTTTGATTGTTTAATTTTTTTATCTCGAGCTATTTTTTCTGAGATTATTGATTAAATTTTCATTGGTGTATCTCCAAAAAAAAGAAACATGATAATATTATTAATAATAAATGAACAAAAAAATTAGATACGATGGGTTACGCGTTCACTTATCCACTCGTGAAACTGATCGGAGGGATTAAAGTTGCCGCGTATGTACATTACCCTACTATAAGGTAATTAATGCGGTAATTTACAAAGGTTCATTAACTATTGAATCAGCTCACTGAAATAATGGTTATAATTTAGTTCAGACATGCTCAAAAAAGTACAAGAACGACGTCCAGCATTCAACAATAATCAACGAATAACAAGTAGTATTGTATTCAGTTACGGGAAGTTAATGTGAGTGTGTGTACAATCAGTGTTATAAAGATAAATAATATTGACTAATGATATTTTTTAGATACTATTACGCATTCGCATATCTCTATGGCTTATCAGGTGGCCTATTCACAGATATAGTAATGGTAAATTCAAGCTGGACCAAAAATCACATTGATCAAATATGGAGAATTGATAGTCGTGTTGTGTATCCACCATGTGATACTGATGAATTGGTAGCAAGGATAAAATTCGAGAATGAAGAGTTGGCACGTGAACGCGTTGTTGTCAGTGTTGCTCAATTTCGGTATATGTTATTTTTTTAATTACATTTTCATAGCTTTTTATAATTATGCTAATAATAATCTTAATAATCTTGATATTAAAAATAAAAAAGACCAGAAAAAGATCATTACCTCCAATTACTATCATTTCACAAACTACTGACAGATCATCCGGAATTACGTGATGGTCCCAAAAAAGTGAAATTGGTGTTAATTGGTAGTTCACGTAATCGGGATGACGAAGAACGTATTGCTCAGTTACGTGAAGAATGCCGAAAATTAGAAATTCAAGTAATTCATTAATTAATAATTTTAAATTAAATCAATCTATGGAATTTAAATTAAATTTTCTATAAGGAAAATGTCCTTTTTGAAATTAATGCGCCATTTTCAAAATTGGTGGATTGGCTTTCTTGTGGGCTGATTGGGATACATACAATGTGGAATGAACATTTTGGGATTGGAGTGGTAGAATATATGGTATTTATTAATATAATGATTATTTTTGTTTCGGGGAACAAGCTTCAGGTATGATAATCTTTTATAATTATCTTAAAGGCCGCTGGCCTCATAACCATCGCTCATAATTCAGGGGGACCAAAAATGGACATTGTAGTAGACCACAATGGATCCAAAACAGGTAAATACTTTTGGAATTCCTACGATATTTATTATCCAAACTAATTAATTAATCACTCCAAACAAATAAAGGATTTCTCGCAACAGATCCACAAACATATGCTGACGCACTTTACACAATCTTCACACTATCACAAAACGAGTACAACACTATACGCGTAAATGCCAGAAATCATGTGGTTAACAAGTTTTCCGTGAATATGTTTGATGAGAATGTTTCTGATTTGTTGAGAGAATTGCTAGTGTAGATAAATAATAAAGTGTATTTTTGGTTTTTGCATTAATTATTATAAAATTTTTGGAATCTTTATGTCAAGACTTAATTTATTAATTTATTACAAAATTTTTAATTATACTGATGACCTAAAAAAAGAAAAATAACTTTGATCGAATACAAATTTTTCATTTTTTTGATTATAACAATGGGCGATTTATATGACAAGGAAATCCAATATCTGGAAAATACTCATAGAAGATTAGGCAAAGTTCTACAAGCGCGTCAAAAACGGCGTCGTTTGCAACTAAATTCTGCTTTACATTCAACAGACATTTTTATTACTAATTATGAAAATAACCACCAAGGAAATAAAAGTTCTCTTGCGAATTCTGATACTACCGCTACAAAGAAGAAGCAGCCTCAAAACAGTTTACCTCGTTCTAGCATCGATGGTGTCTTTTTTGGAGAGTCTAAGAGTAAACGAAGATTGAGTTCTCGTACAAATGCTAGCGAACAAGAGCAGTTCGATAATGATAACAATAATTCAAATATAACAAACTCTAATATACATGAAAATAGTAACAATAATAATGGTAACAATAATAATCATGGCAACAATCACGACCTACAGGATGGAGAAAAGTCTATTCGTAATGATTATTGTCATCACTTTGTTGATTCGGGTAAACGTCCGCAAAATTTCATTAGGGATACGGAATTATCGCAACGATTTGATGAGTAAGTGGTATTAAAGTTGTGATTTTTTTCTGTTTCTTGCGTTTTAATAATTTTTAAATTGGTAGATATCCAAAATTAAAAGAATTAACTAAGATGAAAAATGCATTAGTTGCCAATAGAGCAACGCCACCAACTTATCTAAAGGCTGATCTAAGAACATTCGAGTTAAAGTCATTGGGAACAAAATTTGATGTCATTCTAATTGATCCTCCATTAGAAGAGTTAGGTATAATTACCCTTATTATTGTTAACATTATGATATAACTGAATTCTTATATTTAAATTTCTCTATTAATTGAATATAGATATTGTCGAAGTTCTCCTATGGTTGCTGGTTTAAATTCTGATTATTGGACATATGATGAAATTATATCCTTAATTAATTAATGATTTTACTTTTAATAATTAATTTCAATATATATAAATACATTTTTTCTTTAACCTTATTATTAATTAATAATTTCACGCTAATCTTAAAATTGAAGATGTAGCTGCCACACCTTCGTTTATTTTCATCTGGTCCGGCGATTCTGATGGTTTAGATCGTGGACGTCAGTTACTACTCAAATGGGGATATCGAAGGTGTGAAGATATTGTTTGGATAAAAACCAATAAGAAATGGGAGGTATGTTATTACTACTAAATTTTGTCGTTTCATATTATATGTTACATTTCAATTCATTTAACAAATAAATTTATTCAGGGAAGTCGTTTTATTGAACCAAGATCAGTATTTCAGCGTACAAAAGAACATTGTATAATGGGTATTAAGGGGACAGTTCGTCGAAGTACAGACGGACATTTTATTCATTGTAACGTTGATACAGATGTCATTATATCCGAGGAACCGCCATACGGAAGTTGGTTTCAATTTTTACTTGACACCTCTATGAGCATTTTGTTGTAACTTAAATCATCATTTTACTTATGATTCAACAAAATGGGCGGATATATAAATTACAAGTAGGCACAGCCAAACCCGAGGAATTATATCACATAATAGAACATTTTTGTCTTGGACGTAGAAGACTTGAATTATTCGGGGAGGTACGTGTAATTCGGATTAAATTTCGCGTTGTTAAGAATATCTTTTCTAATCGATTAATAAATGTTATGATTTTTATTCAGGATCATAATATTCGTCCTGGTTGGTTGACTATTGGAATGGGATTATCAAGCTCAAATTTCGATCCTGTTCGATATGCGAATTATTTCACAGAGCCAAGTGGATATTTGTTGGGTTCAACGGCTGGTATTTGTCATTAATTATTCCTTTAGTCGCTGACCTTTATGGTTCGATTCAAACATTTCATGTTTGCGCCGACTTTACTGAATGACCATATTCTTCTATTTTTTATTCTTTGATATAGAAATTGAAGCTTTACGACCTAAATCTCCACCTCCCAGAGACAACACATCAACACCCAAAGTAGGTAGCGGCGGTAGCGGGGGAGGCGCAGGAGGTGGGCAACAAGGAACAAACTTGAAACCAAAACTAAAGAAACCCGCCCAGAATGTTCTTCCTGTTCCGCCGATTCCTCAGTTTCCGCAACATCGGTGGGTTCCAATGGAAGGAAATTTGTATGGTAAGTAGTTGTTGATTAATAATAGCAATTGAGATTGAGGTAGTCGGAATCTAATTATTTTATTTTTCCTTTATATTTGCAGCTCAAAATCAACCATATGAATGGTAATATATAATTTTTATCCAAAGAAGGACGGGAAATAATTGTGTTTTGATTATAATCCATGGACAATAGCATGTTTACAGAGTTTCTAATGTGGCGGAGAAATAAAGTTATTGTTTTTCTAGAATAACGCAAAAATGCACCGCAGTCCGCAGTCCGCAGTCAATAAAAATGAAATGTAGCCATTTGATAGGTCATGCGTTATATTAAAATCCCGCAGTTTAGAGAGGAAAAATAGTTCATAAAAGAGGGCACTTTTGTATCTTTAAATGACATTTTTTACTCTTAGATTAATAAAGATAAAATCAAATGTCTTCTTCCGCACAACTTCCCGATACTAATAATAGTACCGTACATCTCTCTCGTCCGACACCCCAAACAAGAACACTAACGAAAACAATACAACCTCAAATATTAATCTGGAAATTTCCATCTCGCACTCTTCTCCAAACACCTTTTTCACCTACACTAACACTAATTGGTATGTCACGAGCAGCAGATGAAACAGCATTCTATATTCCCGAACTTGGATTCATGTTTGATTGTGGGTTGAAAGTACACACAGCAGTTCCCACTCACATTTTCATCACACATACACACAGTGACCATTGTCTCATGTTGACTCAACATGTGTCTAAGCATCATCCACCTAATATTTATTTACCGAATGAATGCGTGGAGTTAGTGGAACGATATTTGAATGCTTCTCAGGAGTTGACAGATTATGGAGAGGAATATAATGCGAGAATAAGATTTTATTGTGCTGGTGTTGAAAAAGGTGATGTTTTAACGATCGGAGGTGATCAGAAAGAGAAGACTCATGTTGGTGGATATGAGATACATGTTATAAACATGGATCATAGTGTGCCTTGTGTTGGTTATATGATTTATTCTAAAAGAAAAAGATTAAAACCAGAATATAAAGATTTAACCGGGCAAGAAATTGCCGCGTTAAAAAAATCAGACAAATCATTAAACGTTATGCAAGATTTTCTTTTTCCTTTATTCACATTTTGTGGAGACACAACCGCAAAAATCTTCAAACTTCCAAATCCGAATAATATCGATATCGAGAATTCGAATGTTTTAAATGATACCGACAGAAGTCAAAACCACCAATGGAACAATATGCCTTTTGTAATAACCGAATGCACATTTCTTAAAGACGAACATATCGAGAATGCAGAACGTACGAAACACACTCGTTGGCAAGAACTACAAAATGTTGTGAAATTATACCCAGCCACTGTATTTATTCTTATACATTTCTCAAAGAGATACTCGGACGATTATATTCAACGATTTTTTGAGCAGGAAAAAGTAGAATGGAAGGAAAGAGGTGATGGGAATTTGGAAAATATTGTTGTATGGATATGAAATTATGATTCCGACTGTTCATGTATTTTTAATATGTTGCATAAGCGTTATGTTTGTGTTTTTTATCAACGTTAATGAAACTATTTATTTAAATGGCAATGAAAAATACTCTGAAAATCCACATTCATGATAATTACAGTGAAATTATGGATATCTTGTGTTTGTTTGACGAGTTTGGAGAAGTCTTCAAGCAAACCCCGGACAGCATTGATGACTGGGAAATTTCTCTTTATCCTTCATATTTTATTCAGCACTTTGCCATAACGATAAGTGACAAGATTATATTTATTTTATTTATCGTTATAGGAAAATCCTGATTACGTATTTTTTTTCGAAATAACGAAAAAATATTTGCATAACTACGAAATTAATTAAGCACACATATTTGACTTAACAAATATTCCCAAAATTAAACTGCGAATTATTCCATCAATATAATTTCTTTCACTCTTTTCGTTACAATCTCAATCTTACAGCTATTTGGAGTTACTTTTCTTTGCAAATATAACAGTATATCACTTGTTATTGGCTTCAAATAATAACAAGCTTTCAAGATTCATTCTTATTTATTACGAGCTTTGTATGATAACTTAGTATGATGGGTGTACCTTCACCAAAGACAGTATCTCCCGTGGGACCAGACTATATAGACCCTTTTTCCCAAAAGTACTTGCTGTTTCGGTGTATCGTATTTTTTAGTATTTTGAGTAGTATGATAAGAGCAATAATTCATAACTACATCAATAGTGAACGTGACGAAGATTTAGGTATACATGCAACGGAGATTTTGTTTACTTGGGAGAAATACATAAAGCCAAATCAGAAAATAAATGATAATTAAGGTATTTCTAACTTTGTCGCGCGTATTATCAGATAGTATTGAATGCAGTAAGATGGAGACACCCAAAGATCATTCAAATATTCCTGGACCATTGATATTCTAGTGTGTTGCTTGCGATGCTTGTAAAATAGATTCTCTTCTCACTTCAAGTGCTATCAACGTTTATTATGGTTATGTAATGAGCATTTAATGATTCAAAAAACGTATCTTCTTGTCAATGACAAAAGGCATTTCGTTAACCATTAATAATGAAATGAAAATTATCAGTTTCTAATAATCGTTATTATTTATTATATTTTACAATATAATAAATTATCTGATCAGCACCCATAATAAATATAATTCCAGATAGATCTTTAATATAAAGTAAACTGCTTTAAGCATTCCCTTCACTCGTGACAAATGATTATATTAGTTGATCACATAGGAAATCTATATTATTAACCAGAATCTCTACTAATAGTTAGAATTATAATTGTCTTGTTGATTGAGATTTGGAATATTAAAGTCGGAATTATCTCCACCCAAATTATCAAGCGCTGCTTGAAGCATGTCTAACTCCGGATTCACGGAGATATTGGGTTTTCGACTTCTACCCTCGAATACTGCTGGCTCTTTCCTCATGTAATTTAAAACATTTGTATTCGGAATGATTCCTGTCCTGACAAAATTAACAAGAGCTTGCGGGGTTTCATAACCAACAGTTTGCATCTCCTCCAAAGCAATATTTGCTCTGGGATCCCGATGTAGTGCACATTTTCTAACAATTGCTTCGTAAGCAGTTCTTGGTGGTAAAATATCGTGCGATTTCATTTCTTCAAGTAAAGTGAACGCATCCTCGTAATCTGTGTCGGTGCATAATAGTTGAATCATATTGGTGTATACTTCAGGAGATGTTCCAATACCCCGATTACGCATTTCCTCCATGAATTGTTGACCGAGAAGTCGATGTTTTATAGAAAGGCAACACTCCATAAGCATTTCGAAGGTTTGCGCGTTTGGCGTTATATTAAGTTTTTCGGCTTGATTATAAGTCTCTACTGCTCTGTGTATATCAGCTTCACGTGAGCCGGTCTCTTCGTTGTAGACGGCAAAGCGACAGGCTCTAATTATTGCATTCAAGGCTGATACATCCACTTTTCTACCTTTCGAATGAAGCTCTTCCAGAGTATAATAGGCATCGTCAATTTTTTCAACATCAGACTTGATGAGATCGGTAATTGGCATAGCTGTCACATAATCCGGTTCAGCCCCGGAGGCGCGTGCCAGTTCCAATACGTTGAAAGCACGTTTCAAATCACCAACACCAACATATGACGCCAAAAGCGCGGCAAAATGTTGTTCCTCAATTTTAATTCGGTTTGCCACAAGTAATTTGATGACTGCTGTGGCTAAATCCGGTTTTCCAAATCTAGCTGCCGCATTAATAATGTTAAGACATACGCCTTGATCAGGGACCATTTTTGCATCGTCCACTATTTTTTTCCAGCAATGAATAATACCTTCGAGCTGAAAATATGATAAATAAATTAAAGATAGTGACCATTCAATCAAATAAACCATCAATAAAATACTCACATGAAAATGAGCCGAAGCACACCTCAAAGTTTCCATATATATTGTGGGTAATACGACCGGGTATTGTTTTTCAAATTTAAGCAATGTTTCAAATGCCGAATCAGCTTCATTTAATGAGATTGCTAACTTTGTAACTTGCCAAAAAGTCCTCGCGGTCGGTACAATCTTGTTTTCAATTATTTCATCGAGAACATCAACAGCATGTTCGAATTCTTCTAAAACTAAGAAGCTTTCAAGGTAATGTTCATAAGTAAGAGAAGACGGTCTTAGATCGTGTTTTTCAAGGAGACTCCATATATATTCACGATATATTCCTGTTAGCTCATATGATGTAGACTATTAAAAAGGAATCTCGATTAGATTTATTATATACTCAGAGAATTAAATATTTAATAATAAACATGATTATTACCAATAACACGAAATCAAATGTTTCCAAATCAGGTGGAATTCCATGCTTAATCATTTCATGGAGCAATTGTATACATTCGTGGAATAAACCCTCACGATGATATACTTGTAATAAAAGATTATAAGTCTTCGTATTTGGTTTTATCCCTCGATTTTTCATAGCTTGACAATGATTGTATATATCTACAAAATTTCCCCATTTTGTCAATCTTGAGAGTCCTCTGTTCATCTCGACTATCGCAAAATCAAATTCTTCTTTCACAGATGAAGAATTGGTATCAACGGATGGAGAAGCACCAGTGGTAATTTGTTCAGTTGGTGGGTTAAAGATCGATAAAGGGTCAGCGGTGGCGACAGCATTAACGTCGACTTTTGGTGAAACTTCGGTTGTGTAGAGCCATTTACTGGTGACTGCAAGCCAAAATCACCTTGAGTGTAAATTCCAAGTGAGGATTATAACAGAATATAACGATACCAATTTCAAAAAAGTTTCCATCTCACAAACTTGCCGTGCATAAACCTTGTTGAATCGAGACTACTACGACGCGTTATTCCATTTCCATCACCATTTCTCAAAAATAGGATTGTTGTAAAAGCTTTGTTTGTGTTCACGTGAAATTTTGGTCCGAGCAATAGACGCTTGCATATTGGTCTAACTGCACGTAAAGTTCGCGCGGACATTATGAGAGGTGGTTGGCAGTTGTTTTTGTTGGGTGCAATTTTCGACTTGTAATTTTTTTCATGTTTATGACTCATATTGTGCAAGATGACGATCAAACTATATATATATACACATTATATCGATATATATAGTGTTGCTTAATTAGTATTTTCAAAACTTCGAAACTAATTTAATTAGTATTTTCAAAACTTCGAAACTAGCCAGTCAGGAGTTTAGAAAGGCAACATTAATAATAAATACATTATGCTATAAATTACTAGAAATTGGCACTGATCGGTTGTAATATACTAAACGCGCCTGTACCAGACTCGACCACTTTTCCAGCGACCAATCTCGAAGACGGCGAACAAAGCGGATCAAATTCGCCAAACAGGGTAGCTTGTGTTAGGAAATTACACGTGGTCTCGTAACTCATTTTGAGGAACGGGGATGTGTTTGAATCGATTCCGTAGCGACTAAATGGCTTATAATTTCCTTCGAAAGTCTTAAAAAAAAACGAATATGGACCGATTATATAAAGAATAATAATGGATAAGTAAAAAAATAAATGAACTCACCATATAATCCGCAATTAAAGTCAAATGCCGAAGATCTACGTTTATCCCGTATGCACCAAACACATTCGAAATTTCTTTAATGATTGTCGCGCGTGCTGCCTCCACGCCATAAGTTCTTAACATTGCGGCGATATCATTTGTGTATATTTTATTAATGTCGATTATTCTAGAGAATTTCCAAACACCTTGAAGATTGATTCCTTCCGTTGCAAGTGACTTCTAAAATTACGAAGCAAGAATTGTCGAAAACTTTTTTTTATATATATATATATATATCTTTAAATAAATGAACTGCTTACCGAAGTATCATTTTCGTTAACAATCGGATAACATTTATGAATGCCTTTGACTTCTCTCAATGGTATATCTTTACATATTTTTTCCACTATATTCAATAATAAGATTTTCTGTGTGCTCGCGGGAAACATCAATTCAATTTCACACGAAGCGCCATTCTGATCAAAAGAATATTGAGAGACGTATTGTGAATTTTCTATGATCCTTGGATTTTCTATGATTCTTGCATTTTCTGTCTTTTCTTCATTTGACATAGCGTCATCTTCTTCACTATCAGAATTTTTATTGATTCGTCTGATTACTTCCAGATCGTCCTCATCTGGTCCTTCATAACTCGCTAATTGTTTACGTCTTGAATTAATTCTTGCACTGGTTGCATCGCCGTCTCCGTCATCAGAATCTGTGTAATTTTATAATATTATATATAAGAATTAAAGAGGATAATCTAAAAGTCAAACTTACCATATGCTGCTTCGTTATTTACAGCTGTATCATCAACATCCGTCTGCTTATTAATAATACTTTGAGATTTGGGCACAACAAAATCTTCGAATTCTTCTAAATTAATAAAATAGATAATCAATTAATGTATCCTCTTTGAACAAGAGATTACTAATAAACTACCAGATGATTTTCTGCTTTTGTTTTTAGTTATTTGTTTTATATGGGTTCCAAGAAACTTAAAGAATAGGTCCTCAATCACTTCTTTAATCAATGTCGGTGTAATTTCATATTCCTCCATATATTCTTCTTTGGGGAAGAAATTAAGCTTTATCGTATACACTTTTTTGAATATTCTTTGGGTGTACATATCATTTTCAGAGCTTTGGACGCCTAATTTCTCGGTTATCACTACATTATCCACAACTTCTGCCAAAGTCAATCGAGAAATAGCTTGAGAAAATCTATCGGCCATTTCATTGGTAACATGCGGAAGTAAGGGAAGTGTCATCATGGGGGTTTGGATTTCTGCAGAGGCAGCTATAATTATTTCACGCAGACGAGGAATACCCAGTGTTACGTTTTTGGCACCAAATCTGGGTGCATGTTCAAATAAATGTTAATAATAAACTCATGAGGGAAATTTAAGACTTCATACAAAATTATTCATTTACCCTGCAAAATGAAAAGTGTTTAATGTCATTTGAGTGGATGGTTCACCAACACCTTGAGCGGCGAGCACCCCAACTGATTCTCCGGGTTCAACAAGTGAATGAAGATATCGTAAATACATTAAAGTTCCAAAGTCGCCCTTAGATATCTTCTTTCTCCAGTGTGTTTTTAGATCCTTTCTATTTTCTTCAATATACTTTTATTTTTATAATAAATAAATATTAGAAAAAAATCAATGGAAAAATTAACATAAATTTTATTATAAAATTACCTTGGTTAAATTATAATGAAATTTTTCCGAGATACAACCAAGATTTCGGCTTGGCGTAAACACAGATAAGACTGGATCATATTTTTCCGGTCTCTTTGCAAATTTTTTTAAATATTTTATGGCTTGTTTTTGGTCAATCCCATTAACAAATTCTCCGATATGAAATTTTTCTGAAAATGCTTCGAAATTATCTACATTGAATTTGAATTGACTGAGATATTTTTGTTTGGTGACATCCAATGAATCTTCACCGTAATGAAATTGAATTACGGAGCCATCACTGTCACGGACTGTGTGATCGTAATGTACACGTAAGCCTTCCAAATGTTTAATTAGGCATCGCTGCAAGTAACCAGAACGACTTGTTTTCACGGCTGTATCAATCAATCCTTCACGGCCAGCCATACAATGGAAAAAGTATTCCTGAATTATTTTATTTATTAATATTTATTATTCAGAATATAAATTAATAATCAAAAAATAAATGTAATTACCTGCGGTTTAATGCCAGTCAAGAATCGACCACTTATGAAACCACCGGAACGTGGAGCAGTCTCGTATGGAAGAAAAGAAGGCAGTGTCTTGCCGCTAACCATAACTGGTACACGTCGTCCTTCTAATTCTTGTTGACCTTTTAGTCGAGAAAAACAAAGTTAATTCGGATAGAAATGCATTTTATTCCCTCGGTTTCAAAATTATCAGCCGTAGAAATATGAGCGGGATCATGGGACCTTGACATAATTAATGTGTACTCATACTTCAATTCAGGATATTTTTTATCTAAAACCATGAATAATACTCAGAAAAGTAGACTTACCTAACGCACAAGAAATTTGCGAGACATTTACATTGCTTCCTTTTGCACCAGAGACAGTCATCATTTGCATATTATTGGCAGGGAATTTGATGTGCTAATTTTAATTAATATAATTGTAAATGAATAATTATAAGATTATCTATATTAAGAAAGCTTGAATACAATACCAATTTGTCAGGTATGCAGTCGTTAATAATCGATGACGTCAAATTATTCATTTTCGATTTCATTGAGGCGTCTAAACCTTGCTGCTTTTCATTATCACGGAACACTTCTTCTATACGACTTTTGAATTCTTTAACAGAAAAATAAATATAATTATTGCTCTTATTCTAATTACAATGAATATTAGAATGAATGTACATTTTCCATATATATATATATATATACCTTTTAATGTGCTTTTTTTTTCTTTTTTATCCCCACCATCATCGACAGGATCCAATCCAACATAATTATACGTAGCATCTCGTCCATGTTTTGAAGCATTTTGCATTAAATTGCGTCTAGACTCTTCTCCTTCAGGAGTCAATCTCAAATCATCCATGCGACAAGAGAATCCTCGCCATTGTGAATAAGTGGTGAATAGACGACCCAATATACTAAGTAGTTTACCAGCAATTGAGGAATTATAAAGCTCATAGCATGCATGAATTAAACCGAATGCCGTCGCACCAAATTGTCCTTTATCTAGGACACCGGTTAAGTGTTCACCGTCCAGGAAGATTACGGTCGCCTCTTCTGGTGCACTGTCTCCCCAATATCGAGCCGCTATATTCGCTCGGGAGGTGAGATTTAGTGGTATCATGCCGTGTGTTAGATTCTTTAATATCGTAGAAATCTATGATTTAATTTGATTATTGTCAAGTCATTATCTAGTAACAACAAAATTACTTATTTTATTTAATATAAAATATATTTATGATTTACCATTTGTTTTCCTGTCCACAATCGCTTAGGTTTTCGTATAGCAGGGGGAACTGTCAAAATTTTTACAGCTACAGTTCCATGATTTTCCTCCGGTCTTAGAGCATTATAAAGTATCTGATGATACTGCTCCTTTGTGAAAAATGTATCTTTCGATGTCATCCATACACCGATAACCACATGATCTTGAATCAAGCCACGCAACGGAGACCCAGAAGTAGGTTCAAGATATTGTTCATTGGTATTACCAATAATCTCAGCTTCAGCACGCGCAATCTCATTCTGCGGGAAATGCATATTCATTTCATCACCGTCAAAATCAGCATTATACGCTTTACAATTCGCGTAATGCATTCGAATTGTCATCTCGCCAGGCAACACTTTAGCCTGATGTGCCATAACTGAAGGTTTATGAAGTGTCGGTTGTCGATTCAAAAGTAATATGTCACCATCACGCAAGTGACGTAATACTTTTTTATTGGAGGTTGGAGATTTGGGAGGAAGCACGAATATTGATTTAGAAGGATTAGTGGGTGGAGTTAAAAGTTGATTGGCAAGTGCAATACGCGATTCTAAAGATAGTCGCGATAATAATTGAACCATTCCGTCTTCATGTTGAACTGAAACTGCACCAGGCCATTGATGAGCGCCATTTATTACAGCTTCACGCATTTCATTTATGTTGTATTGGGTAACTGGTTCGGGATATGTCAGAATTTTGGCAAAGGTTACTGGTATCTAATGGATAATAAGTGGTATTAATGAGAATTTATGAAATACGATTACATTTATCTCAATATCTATTGCAAACTCACCCCAATTTCAAATGTTTCCACATTCGGATCAGGAGAAATTACAGAACGTGCGGCGTAGTTAACACGTTTGCCCTAATATATTTTTGAGATATATATTTTATTGAAATTTAATTTAAAACCACATCAATAATTGACTAAATATTACCATCATATGTTTCCTAAATAATCCTTCTTTTTTCTCTAATATTTGTTTAATTCCAACAGGATACATTTGTCGCTCTTTAGCAAACATTGCACCGACTTTCGTGTTATCAATTAACCCATTGACAGCAAGTTGCAAATCATTCCACGCATTCAAAAGATCTTGAAGTTTTTCCTTTTTATTGGTGGTTGTTTCTATCTCTGCTTCATCTTTTTTCTTAGTAATATCGTTTTGTGCGTTTAAAGAGAATCTTGCGCAAGCTTTAAGTATTCTTTTGAAATGTCCATTGTGCACATTTTCCAATAACCTTTCGCCAACTACATTCGTAGGACGAAAACGAGTTGGTGGAACAGCAATCAAATCAAGAAAGAAAATATCTGCGCTAACTGATGTGTTATTCCTATTACTGTTCGTTGTTGATCTATCGCGAGGATAAAATCGTGATGAAAATAGCCCATGTTGACCATATAGTAACGAGCAAATTGTAGATTCATTTTGGAATAACATATCGAGATGCTTACGAATATCCATCGGAGTCAAATATCTACTGGATGTATGTGATGTAGTTTCTGTGTCGTTATTTTTATCTTGTTCGTTTTCATTTTCATTTTCATTTTCCAACTCATTTTCATTTGTGTTCTTTTCCTTTGTTTGTTTTGATCGCCGTTTTTTTTTTGATAGTACTTGAAATATTTTGCTGTGGCTGTTTTTTCTGTACGTTGGCACTGAACTATTTTTTATGTATTATTTATTAATAAAATAATATAATTTGATTTGTCGACTTAAAATTTTCTTTACTTACCTGCGACAATTTTGACATCTTGCGAGCGTTACAGAGATTTTGAAGAAGTCTTTTACTATTCTCCTTTTCTCGGCATTAACAGCAGTTGAATTAGGTCCAGTGTTAGGTTGTGCAAATGTTCTCTTTAAATAATTATCTTAAAACAAAGAATATTAAGGATCAAATACGTGTTATATATGGATCGAGCAAAAATAAACTTATGAACATACTAATAAGTTCTATATGGGTAGCTTTTTCTTCTTCGTTTTTATTTTTATCCAGATCTTCAAATTTTAGAGTTAGGTAATCGATTTCCTGGGATTCAAGTAAAAGCCCTTTTTCCAACAATAACAATTTTGCAGCGAATCCATAGCACTATTGTTATCAAATTTTCAAACGTATTAAATTCATTCATTCAATAAAAAAAAAAGGATTTCATTTTCACGTGAATTATTGAATACCTTCACTTTATTTGCTAAAAATCGATGACAATCCAAACAAATTGACTTCAACAAAGTATACATGTGCGGAAAGAACAGTGCGTTATACACAGGGCACGGAAGTTCAATATGTCCAAAATGCCCCGGACACGAAAAGTAATCGAGTAGACACGTGTGACAACTACACGCATGCATACACATACACATAATCAGAATCAAAGAACGTTGAAAAAAGGAATAGAAGAAACTTAACACTATCAAACATACACATAACCGCGATCAAAAGGTCCCAAGGCCAAGTCGTATAACCCATCCTTGGTTGGTTGATTTAAATTATCGAAAAGCTCTGAATGTGTTATTTGTTTTACGGATAATTTCCGTATTTCTTCAGGACTATAGCATGAGAAAGAGACTGAGTGAATTTCGGTTCCAAAGGGATGCGATATATTCATGGTCCCAAAGATAAATTTTTGCTGAAAACGATAAATAAAAATATCACGTGAGTTAACTAATTTTTATAGCGGTAAGTCTATGGGTAACATATGTCGATCATTAATTGAGGATTTTCTATTGGTTTCCGTGGATCATTTTTTGGCTCCGAAATAATAACAAGATTCATTTTTTTGAACTTCCTTTTTAATTTGAATATCTATTATTATAAGTCTCAAAAAACAAACTAATAAAGAATTTTTTGAATTTGAATCTTTATTTATATCTTTTTTTACAAAAAGAATAACAATAAATTTTGCTAGCAATTAAATGAATAATTATTAATTGAAGCAACAGAATCTTTAATTTCATTGCCATTAAAAGTTGGAAGAGATACTTGAGTTAATTTTGAAGCTGCTGATTGAGGTGGTGCTGTTAATGCAAGTGCTAATTATTGTAAAGTTACAGCTAATTGTACTTGAGAATTTGGTTGTTGTAATTAAGAATGCTTGCTAAAATTCAAGAGTTTCAGCAATTTGTCAAGCCAAAATTATTAAATACTATTTTGACAAAAGCCATGTCAAAATTCAAAATTATGTCAAAATTCAAAGTCATGCCAAAATTCAAAATTATGTCAAAATTCAAAATTATACTAAAATTCAAAATTATATTGAATATAAAATAAAAAAATATATTATTATATATTAAATTTAAAAACTTTATTCTAAATTAAAATTGATATTTAATAATTATTAAATTTAAATAAAAAATTTTACAAAAATATAAATAATATAAATTAAATTTATTTTCATTGATCAAATTTTAATTGCTTAAATTCACTCTTTTCTAATTCTTCTTTATTTTATCTTCATTCTTATCCTCATTTTTTTATTGAAATTTTTAAAACAGTTATAGCATAAAAATTATTATTAATCTGGTTTTGTTAATATTCAACATGAGCTGGATTTTTAATTCCTTCTCTTCATTTTGTAATAACTGTAACTATTTTTTGTGACAAATTTTGAAATTAATTAGCTTGGTATTCATAAGAAGAAAAAATATATTTATCTCTTTCTGATTAACACCAAAAAGTATTTCAATTTTAATATTGTTATCATTTTATAGATATTAAGTTCTTGACGTATTAATTATGTATTTTATTAACTTAAGAGTGAAAAAGATTAAGTTTTTATAATGGAAGAGACTAAGATTTATCACTAAAGGTAGGTAATTTGTGATGAGCTAGAATGATATTCAATAACTTTACTAAGTTTTGTATATTATTTTAGAACTTTAAAAGTTATGATTCAAATGATAATTTTATCAAGTAATTATCTTTCAAGTCAATAACAATGATTTATTATAAGTAATCTATCTTTCAAGATCAAAAACCAATACAAATATAACTTTACAAGTT